AAGCGGGGGGGGGCTGTCCCTATTTCTCTCCCTAAAAAAAGCCAAAGTTTTTTGCACTTCGTTTCGTGAGCAAGCCCAATGGCCTTCAAAAAAAAGATGGGAGTGTAAAGTTGTGGTGAGGAAACACCCATACACTCCTCTGCCAAGTGTGTGTTTTTTTATATTACAGAGATGGAGAGGGGGCCTGAATTTCGCGCGAGATGCGATGCTCGTCTCTCTCTCATATAGTAAACTGAAGCAAATTAAAACCCTACGCTGTCCACCAAGCTGCAGTGAAAATTTCGCATTACAAACGCTGGTTTGTTGCGCCGTTGCAAGGGACATCGACGGCCAGATGAAGAAGAGCTCGTTCCTGACAGGTAATGATTTTACCGATGGTAGACCTGCTTTTTGTAAAGGAAGTGAGTATTTTGTCAGACTGGCTCTGTGCACGATTTTATATTTTGATCACAAAATATTTACGCATAATTTAGCGCAAATGCCGGTGGAGATGCCAATTACCCCCCCAGTATGCAAAATATGGACTTTATTAGCAACACTGCGTGCACTCCAGGAATACTAGAGACATTGGGCTGGTATTGTAGTGCAGCAACGCCTGCTCTGTAGTAGCTCAACAGCATGAACTTCGATTTAGATTGCATAATTTATTATGTGCATGAATATCAAATAAATGAATAGGGTACAGTGCGACTGAATTATATACTTCGTAATAGTTATATGAAGTTTGTAAGCTTTAAAACTGCGTGCGCCAAATAGCTTTGGCCCTCGAATTAATCCGTACTGAGCTGTACGTACGGATTCATCCGAGTAGGGTTGCATTCTCTGGTCCGTTAAAGAATTAGCCATACAGTAGGCTGGCGATGGCTTTCGATCTAGCAGCTCAATGAAGTTGAAATAACCTAATTGTAAAGCTTTTTGCTAGCACTACAGTATAGTATTTTTTAGATGCACTTTCCCGCCAGTAGCGTCGATACTTGACCATTTGAGCTATCACTCTATGGTAAAATATCCACTACTTTAGAAAGGTCCTTTGAAAGTCATAGGACTTATAAGTGAACTTTTTTCAACGAAAGATGAGCAAAAGATTTGTCCACAGCATCGTTGGATAATTTTTTGCATTTTTTTTAGCTGTACGGTCAATTTATCCGAAAATGGCTGAGACCAACTGAGCTCGAGCTTTTCAATCGATTTACTTTCCTATGGTATTTTTCTAGATGCTGGAAGTGTAACGACGTTTGTCCGGTAGGTAACAAACGATCGGGGCCATTGCGCACTGAATGCATTAGGGATGGGCCAGGGCGCTCGTTAGCAGTGACGTCTTGTCGATTTATTGAACCAAGCCAATCTTTGGCGAAGAAAAACAAAAGTCCTAAATTGAGGGGGTAACATATGTTACTGTATTCCCTAAAACACGCACTGTGACTTACAATTCCACAATTTGGAAGTAATGCTGCTATTCGAAATGACATTATATTTTTTTAACACTTTACATTATGTGGAATCGACTGGAATGATAAGCTTCCACTACCGGGTATCCCAGCCAACATTGACCCTTTCGTTGGGATTCGACAATCCGAGATTATTGCTCATCACCATCATAACTCAAAGAAAAAGAGGATGAATACTACAATGTATAGGTTTCCGCGTCGCCAGGCAGTCACTACCGAACGGCCCTGCTTCGCGAATCGCGGGCACCCCGCGCGGGTTTGCTGCGGCTACGCGACTTGATTTGCTCCCAAATTCTCCCCCTTCATGATGAAGTGAGTACAGTACTACGTCCAACTGAGATGAAGTCTCACTTACTTCACTTGAAGTACTTTTTAAGTTTCATAATCATTTTGCATCCAGACCAGGGTTCGCCAAGTGCACATTGTTGGAGGGATGCTTTGCGCAGAGTTGTTAGGGCAGTACAGTATGGAGTGAGGACGAAAGTAGAGTGGTCTAGGCGGCCATAGTGGAGAGGAAGTCTTGAGTGTAGAAGGAGAAGGCGCTTGTGTTGGACTTGGTAAAAAGAGAAGACGCTTGTGTCGGACTTGGTAAAAGGAGAAGTGAAGAATTATAGAGTCTGGTGTTCTGGAGAGGAGTTACTCTCCACCAACCAGTCCAGTTATATACGATTTCTCTATATGAAATCGCACAATTATATTCCACTAGATAGTCATCATCACATTGGAGATGCTTTCTTCAACACACATGTACAGTAGCCTACATGTACATTCCGTCCAAACAATAAACTCAAATGTACTGAACGTCTGTGCCAGAAATAAGCCATATGCGAACATCGACGTCTAGATTAGGTACATGTATGTGCTTCTGTGTGGCTGTATGACGCATGTTATTGTGCTTTGCAGATGGAATGTCCATCGATTTTATAGTCGGAGCATAAAACCACGCGTAAAAATGAGATGGGAAGAGGCAGGCATCGATTTGTTTTATCTGTGATCGAATTACCATTTCAAAAAGGCAAAAAGGGTCGATTTACAGGATATCGATGTGGATTTGGATTTGGTGATGCCGAGCAGTCGATTTGACTGCTGTAGCTCGATTTATCAGCCAGTCAATTAATAGCTAGATCAATTTGTTCTTTTTATAGACCTCGATTTAATAAAACGACCTCTATTTATTATAAATCTAGCATCAGGCTAAGTGAAAAGGACAAAAGCATTGAAATGCACAATAACTCGCGCGAGTTATTAGAGACGTTTCGGAAATTTTCTTATCTTCAACTTATCGCTTCTTTGATTTGCTGCAAAGATAAAGTGAAGATAAAACAATTATAGCTTTCGCCATTAATTCTTCAGTATGACTACTGTATTAATCTGGTGACGAATGGCCAGCTACATTTGTTAGAATTGCACTGCTCGTCTTGACGACCTGACAAACAATTACCGACGATCCCCCGTGTTGTCAGAACTGATGCGGTAACACTACATGTATGATGCTGTTCTACTCTGTAGTCACTAGCATATTGCTCAAACGGGCGTGCTAAGCTGCCAGAGGTCTAGCTGAGAAGAACGTTTCGGATATATGCCGCGCTATTTAACTAAAGCAGTGGACTATCTGCAGACTGCAGGCCGCAGTTATCCCGCTCATATTTGTATGGGGAATGTTTTGCCGGTACATATTCGTCACTAGGTCATCCAAGCTTGTTGGAATGTAGCGGTAAGGCCAACGCACAAGACCAAAACTTTGCGTTATATTGTGTGGCAAACACAAAAATGCTGAGGATTTTTTTTACATTCAATGAATTCTGCAGCGAAACATCTTCACATCAGCAAGTGTTGTGTCATTTATGCTCTGCTGTAGGGGTTGTGAGGATAATGTAAAGGTAAAGCCATTTGCGAAACGTCTCTATTATTATGCAAACCAAATTGCGTGGTATCGTAGAAGCCATTCATTTCTATTCGAGCGAGGACACTTAAATCCGAGTCCAATTCTCTTTAACTCGCGCGAGGTTAAGTGAAATATTTTAATTCTGATTCTATTTTTAGGTTCTAAGCTTGTGGTTGGGAGCGACTACCACTTTAGAATCAACTCCCTGATGGCCAAACGCGAGTGTATGCAGCGGAGGGAGAGGGAAAAGGTAGAACTACTGAAGCGGTGGAAAGCTCATCCCGTTTGGACCGTCGAAGACGCTTCGCGTGAGCTGAAAGTAAAAGAGCCCACACTTAGATATTGGGAGAATATAAA